GGGGTCAAGCTCCTGTAATAATTCACATGCTAATCCCTTCTTCACTGTTGGTGGGTCCAGGAAAGTCCCTGGGTAAAACATTCTGTTACCACCTAGGTTTCATTGAAAATCTGAAATATCTTCTTTGATGAGGGAAGGGGAGATTCCTAATGTGAAAGTGTGAATCCAACAGATGGAAATCTGTAAACAGTCTTGAGCTTGGAGACATGGAATGATGGAGTCAAGTGTTATAAATAATTTAGGATTATATATGCACTTGGATTTTAGGATAGGAAAAACACACTTCCTTCTTGTACAGAATGAGAAAAAATATCAAAACATTCTGTTAACCCTGAAATATCTTCTGTAACTTCTAAATTAGATCATTGCCATGTGCAGACTCTAATGATTGATCCTTGAAATGGACATAGTAGATGTGGAATGAGGCAGTATCTCTTGTTCTTCCACTGGGTGTCACTAAGAACAGTCTGGCTCCATCTTCTTTACTCCTCCTATGAGGTATTTAGACATTTTGATAAGATCCCTCCCATAGCCATCTCTTCTCCAAGCTAAACAGTCCCAGCTCTAAGCTTCTCCTCATATGACAGATGCTCTTGTGGAAGCAAAATAGTTAATGCCTCATAGGCCTTTGCAGGCCTCACTAGTTAAGAAACATTTGCAGCTAATGGGCTCACCAGTCAGCAAGATTTCATTAACAAAGGAGTGAATTATTCATAAAAGGATATACTGTCTCAACCCTCCTTATATGAAGAATTCCAATTGCTGTTGATATTTACCATATCCTGCTTATCTGACAGTTTTGGTGAAGAACCTGGTTGTATAACCTAAAAGGTATATAAACTCTGTAAAACTGCCCCATTTGGGCAGAGTTCACATCAGCAGTCTCTCACTGCTGCTCTGTGTTCTCTCCTATAGCTATAGTAATAAACTGCTTCTGTTCTGACCTGATCTAAATAGTAATTCTGGTTATTCCACGACACTCCAAACCCTTAGCTATCTTTGTGGCCCTTTGCTGGACTCGCTCCAGTATCCCTGTGTCTGTCTTGTACTGGGGAGCCCCGAATGGGATACAGTACTTGAGATGCAGCCTCAGCAGTGCTGAGTAGAGGGGAAGGATCTCCCCCCTCGACCTGCTGGCAATGCTCTTCCTAATGCAGCCCAGGATGCTATTGGCTGCCTTTGCCATGAGAGTCCATTGGCAGCTCATGGTCAGATTCTTGTCCACCAGGACCCTCAGGTCCTTTTCTGCAGAGCTGCTTTCCAGCTGGTCAGCCCTTGGCCTGTACTGGTGCATGGGTTTATTCCATACCAGGTGCAGGACATGGCATTTCCCTTTGTTGAACTGCCTATTTCTCCATCCTGTTGAGGTCCCTCTGAATGGCAGTACAACCACCTGGTGTATCAGCCACTCCTCCCAATTCTCTATCATCTGCAGACTTGCTGAGAGTGCACTCTGTCCCAAGATCCAGGTCAGAAAAGAGGAGGTTAAACAGTATGTGCCCCAGTATTGACCCCTGAGGGACATCACTAGTGACTGGCCTCCAGCTGGACTTCATGGCTTTTGCTGTTGATATACCTGCAGAAGCCTTTCTTGCTGCCCCTCCCATCCCTCTCCAGATCCAAATCTAGATGGGCTTTGGCTTTCCTAACTGCATCCCTGTATGCTCGGACAGTGTCTCTATATTCCTCCTGGATCACCTGTCCCTGCTTCCACCTCCTGTATGCTTCCTTTTTATGTTTGAATTTACTCAGGAGCTCCTTGTGCATCCATACTTCCTGCCACCTGTGCTTGACTTCCTGCATTTTGGGATGGACCATTCTTGAGCTGAGAGAAGGTGATCCCTGAATATCAACTGGCTCTTCCAGACCCCCTCTGCTTTCTAGGACTGTCTCCCATGGGATTCTTCCAAGCAGATCCCTGAAAAAGCCAAAGTCTGCTTTCCTGAAGTCTAGGGTTATGATCCTGTTATTTGCCTTGTTCCCTTCTCTCAGGATCCTGAACTCCACCATCTCATGGTCACTACAGTCAAGGCTGCCCCAACCAGTCCTTCCTAGTTTGGAGGTATTCAGGTCCAGCGGAGTGCCTCCCCTCACTGGCTCCTTGATCACTTGTGTCAGTGATAAACCATAAATCTCCATAAACCTCCTGGATTGCTTATGCCCTATTGTCTTGTCCTCCCAGCAGATATCAGGGTGGTTGAAGTTCCCCATGACAACCAGGACCTGCAAATATGAAGCTTCTTCCAGTTGTAAGAAGAAGGCCTCATCTACTTCTTCCTGATCAGGCGGTCTATAGCAGGTGCCCACCACAATGTCACCCACATCGTGCCGCCCTCTAATCCTAACCCATAAGCTCCTGACTGGCACAGCATCCATCCCTAGGCAGAGCTCCATGCATTCCAGCTGCTGTCTCATATAAAGGACAGTTCCCCCTCCTTGCCTTCCCAGCCTGTCCTTCCTAAAGAGCTTGTATCCATCCATGGCAGCACTCCAGTCATGTGAGCTATCCCAGCACATCTCCATGATCCCAATGAGATCGTAGCACCTATTCTGTAGTTGCAGATCTGCAGGTGAAGCAGGAGCCTTCCTCCTGTTGCCAGAAGTCACAAGCTTCTAGCCTTCACCATCATGGGAGTCTCCATTTGCCACCCCAATGAGTTCAGACTCTGGTCGCTCTTTCTGTGCAGGTGGGGGTTCAGGCTCTTGTTTTTGCAGGGTGTTGGAGAAGATCCTTTCCATCTCTTTTTTCATCATCCTTATTGCTGCGCATTGATATTGACATACTGGAGGCAAGTCCAGAGGTGGGCCACCAAGATGCTCAGGGGACTGAAGCACATGACATAGAAGAAAAGGTTGAGAGAGCTGGATTTGTTCAGTCTAGATAAGAGAAGGCTCAGAGAAACCTTACTGCTTGTCTACAACTGCCTAATGGGAGGATACAGTGAAGACTCTTCTCAGAGCTGCACAGTAATAAGACAAGAGGCAATAGATACAAGTTGGAACATGGGAAATTCTGATAAGATATTGGAAAAAATATTTTTTACCATGAGGGTAGTCAATACTAGAACTGGTTGCCCAGTGAGGCTGTATAATCTGCATCCTTGGAGGTGTTCAAGACTTGACTGGACAAGTCCTTGAGCAACCTGACCCACTTTGCATAGGGGTTAGACCAGGTGACCTCTGGAGTTCTCTTCCAACCTAAATTATTCTATGATTCTAATCTTTTTTAACATGGTCTTTATCAAAAACATATATGTCAAGAGAACCTGTGAGCAAATGAGCCAGGACTTGCTGCCAAGAGATCTTTAAAGTCTAATAGTTCTTTATGGAAATTACTGACATAGCCTTTGAACAATTAAGAACTGGGTACAAGTATCACTGAAGTATCAGTTTAAACATTTTATGTAAATATAATGTGTTGCTGGATTATAAGAAATGTGTTAAAGAAACAAAGTTTTTGAAAAGCAAAATATTAGTAGTTTAGTAGTAAACTTGAAATTTTGTTAAGTCAAGGTTCATTTAAATTGCTGACAAAAAATTTGAGTGGACAGATGCCAATAATCTAGTTGCAAATGTAATAAGAAAACATACCCCCCATAAAATCAGAGGTAGATTAAAGCTAACTGGAAATCATTCATAGCACAATACTTGAATGAGCCACAATAACAGAGGAATTTAAATGCTTTCCGTTAGAGAAAGTTTGCTAATATTTCCCTAATTTGAAAGGGAATAAAAACAAAGAGGACATAAATTAAAACTGAGAAATGGTACTGTAACAAATAATAATAAATCACAGATATGAAAACACCAGGGACCTCTGTAAGGAAGTTTTGATAATCATAGAATCATAGAACAGCCCCGGTTGGAAGGGACCTCAAAAGATCATCTGGTCCAACATTTAATGGGAAAGGGAGCCTAGATGAGATTATCTAGCACCCTGTCCAATTGTATCTTGAAAACCTCCAGTGATGGGGACTCTACCACGTCCCTGGAGAGGTTGTTCCAGTGAATTGTTGTTCTTACTGTGAAAGATTTCTTTCTTATGTCAAGATGAAACCTCTACCGGTGCAACTTGTACCCGTTGCCCCTTGTCTTCTCCAGGTGACATAATGTCTCATGCCATTGCAGTTGGGCAAAGGTTTCAATCTTGTCCCTAATTTAGCAAGGACTAGTGTACAGTTATCAATAAATAAACAAGAATCCTGTACGTGACCACCATAATTCTTCCTTATGTGATGGGAAAGAAAAAAGAAAAAAGACTCCTGTTACAACAGGAATAAAAGCTTTCTGAAGAACCAGCAATCATTTCTACCATGTTCAGTCATTTCCCAAGGACTGGAAGTTTTGTGAAAGAAAGGATCCTATATCTTGGTATGATGTTAATGAAAATAATGGAAAACCATCTTCAGAATTCTCCTAACCATTCTCTGCTTTAGCTGAATGCTTTTTTCAAAGCACAAGACTAAACCAGATAAAAACTTTCTTGCTTTGACATTAGTCACTCAGCAGTGCTTCAGCATCAGTCAAGGACAAGACTGGAGTCCAGAAGATTCTAATTACCATTCAGCTATAAAAGCAACTTTAAACTGCCATTTCGGAGAGGAAACATCCCTTGAAGTAAGAAGCAGTCCCTTAGGCTGGGGGACTATAGGAAGAGTTTTAAGCTGGTTAGGTTGCTTCTAAAGAATGTTATTTCTATAGCTGATTAGATTTATCTTAGAAACTGCTTAGTTTTTGAGAACATATAGCTTTTGGAAACAAGATATGATATAATTGTTTCATTGCAGCATATATGAAGACAAAGATTTACCCATTGATGACACCATTTGAGTAGCCTAAATGTTCAGCGAAGGATTCCTGCAGAATTAAAAGCAATAAACAGAATATTAGACACAGCCTATACAATGGCCAAAATGATGCACCCCTGTATCAAGAAATTATATGAATGAGGTTTGAGTCCCATTACACTCATACCCTTGGAATTTGCCTTGTGGCACAAGTACTCTGATGTTTTCCTGCTACTGCTTTATTTAAAATGCATGGCTTGTAGGAATAATTTCCCTCTGTATGCTTTTTACCAGATTACAACTACAGTAGAACCTAATTAATTTGCACTGATTACTGCGAGACCCATTTGCAAAATGCTGAATTTCATGAGTTAATAAGCAAGTGAGCAAACAATAAAAAACACAATAATACACCACAGGAGATACTTGTTCATTTTTTTGTATATTGTAGCTACATTTTAGTTAGCTTGAGCTCAGTAATGAGAAATGCTACACAGTAAACAAATTTTTGCTGAAAAAAAGGAGGGGTATGGAGGGGGGGCAATTTTTGATAGATATTCTAAAAGATTAGCAGTTGCTAGATAACAAGGTTCTACTATACGTTCTACTATATGGCATTTAAAACTGATATCTCTATTTTAAAATTTAGTTTTATTTTAAGCACAGGTAGTGGCAAGTTGATATGGAATATCTTAAACTCAGAAAACTATTTTTTAAAGATAGTGCCTCAAAAAGAACAAATGCATATATTCTACAGAGGAATGGAATGAGTGTTTCCCAAATGTGTTCTTTCCAGCACAAGTGTTGTTGCCAAAGATGTTCCCTCCTGCGCTAGCAGTTTTTGACTATGTTAGCCACCTGAATTAAAAAGGCCCCCAAAATCAAACATGACAGACTTACCTCAATATGTTGAAACATATACGGGTGATTGCATATCTTTCTCAATTGCATGATTGTGTTCATAAGAGTTTTTGCCCCACCTTTTCCCTAGGGAAGCAAACACCACAAATCATATTATGAAACCCATTTCCTAGCTTGTTAATGAAACTTTTGAAACCCAATTTCAAAAGGAGACATAAAAATACTTCTACCCCAAAGCAGAACACCATATCACCATGAAATAAAAATATTTGAAGCTGTGAAATAAGGTGCAGTTATCTGGCTGCTCAAATTAAAATATCATGAGGATGATCCAAAAAGACAAGGAGATCAAAGACTTCCAAGTAATCTGGAAAGTGTACTACATCTCATATCTGTCTATAGCAGTCACAATAAGCACTTGCTGCTTTTTTCTACTGCTTATTTATGAAACCATGTAAACTGTAAACAGTAAAATATTATCAAGTGTTCCACTAAGCTGGGATGGTTACAATCTAATTATCACTGATGAATACATTTGGTAACACCATATTAAGACTGACTAACACTTCTCACTTTAAGGTCCCATTTTGATTTGCTATAACTTTGTGAAACTGTTACCAGAGTTGGTACAATTTCCAAACTCACTATGTCACTCAGGTGAAATTATTTTAAAATATCTCAGCCAAAACAATTCAGACATTTCCAAGAGTGAGATTAGGAAAAAGTACATTATGTGATCATTTTATATTCTAGTAAATTCATCTCTGGAAGAGAACTGACATTTGATTGGGGGTAGTCCACATGTTAAAGTCTACTGTTGATCCCTTGAAAGTCTATCTCAATTTGCTCCAAACTGCAGTTTGCATTTGTTTATGAAATGTTTACTAGAGCTTTGCATCCTAATGAATTCTCTCTAGTTTGAGCAGATTGCAGGCCAGAGCTGCAGAATGACAGTTTTCCCTAAAACCATAGTTACTGGATCTTCAAAGCCAAGAGTTCTCAATGACTACTACCTCCTTCTGCTGGCACCAGGAAGCATGAATAAGAGAACCTGATGAATTACTTACAGAAAAGAAAAAAGTTGGAGGATGGGGAAAAATTGGACCTATGAGGGAGTTGAGATTGCAGTGTTCTGGCCAAAGAGACTAGAAAGCTAGAGGACAGCAGAGGCAGTTAGAACTGCTTAAGGCAAAGAGCTGGGCAGGGAAGCAAGGAAGAGAAAGCAGAGAGAAGATTCTGAACTAGTGAACAAGAGAAACCAGACAGGTAAGCAGAAGGCTGGGATGCAAAACGAAATTGGGGGGGTGGGGGGAAGTTAGAACAAGGAACAGGATGTAAGATAGTCAATGCTGAGGTGGACATAAACCTGCTGAGGTGGACTGGGAACAGGGAATGAGGGCATAGAGATGGCTGACCTCTATTTAGTTGAGTAAGGTGACTGCACACAAGTCTTGAGCCAGAGGAAGGGCAACAGGAATGGCTGTGCCAGGAAACTGGGCCTAGTTAGGCATAGTAAATTGAACTAGCAGAAGATGTTGGGATGAGGAAGAAAATAGACTGGACATGGACCAGTCAAAGTGGTTATGGTAAAAGGCATCACAGTCAGGTCAGGAATAGGGAGAGATGAGCAGGAGGGACAACATCCATTCAAGTACCCTCTCTCCAGATCTTAGAGCAAATTGAAGACTATGTATTAAAGAATATTGAAGAATATGCAATGCAAATTGAGAATATGTATTAAACCCTCAACCACATCAAATGTTGCATTGTAAAAGGCAACTACTATCAATCAGTTATTCAAGTAACTCAAACCTCTAGCATAGGTCTCTGTAGTGCTTCTATACTTCAAATCATTCTGATGACCTCCTTTGGATGTAAATGTGTCAAATGACATTTTCTAAGGCTTAAAAAATGGTAGCTGAAAAATTACATTAAAAATACAACAAAAGAAAGTAAACCAATGTTTGCAAACTACTCAGAACCTATATAGAGATGACTGTCATAGAAGATCCTATGAGGAAAGGACTAACTTTTTTTAGAGCAGGGTTTGAATACTCAACAGTAAACAACACATCAGACAACATCTGACAGAGGTTAAAACAAAATAAGATATTGAACAACAATATCATCCATTGTGACAATGAAATTGGCAGGAGGCAGGTGGAAAAATAGCGTGCGATCGTATTGTGTCATGAAAACACATATAATGGGACCAATATATGAGACTGGTGCACACACAAGCTGTTACACACCAGCTTCCCAGAACCACAGAATGGTTGAGGTTGGAAGGGACCTCAGGAGGTCATCTGGCCCAACCCCCCTGCTCAAGCAGGGCCACCTAGAGCAGGTTGTCAAGTACTATGTACAAACAGCTTTTTCACCAAGGATGGAGACGCCACAACCTCTCTGGGCAAGGCAATCTATTCCAGGACCACCCTCACAGCCAAAAAGTGCTTTCTTGGGTTCAGATGGCATTGTATACATTGATCCTTCCTGAACCTTCTCTTCTCTAGGCTGAATAGTCCCATCTCTCAGCCTTTCCTCATATGAGAGATGCTCCACTCCATCATCTTTGTGGCCCTTCATTGGACTCTCTCCAGTAGCTCTCTTGTACTGGGGAGCCCAGAACTGGACACAGGACTCCAGGTGTGGCCTCACCAGTGCTGAGTAGAGGGGAAGGATCACCTCCCTCGACCTGCTGGCAATGCTCCTATTAATGCAGCCCAGGATACCATTGGCCCTCTTTGCCACAAGGACACATTGCTGGCTCATGTTTGTTGCTCTGTGTTAAGTGCCTACATGATCTTACTCTGAGGAATCTCACAGTAAATCCAACCTACCTCACATCTATTGCAATGTAAAATACTATTTACAGACAAGCTGATGTATGGCTACTTGTCTTCTCTACAATAACTTGACCATGTGCCAAAGTCCTAAGATAGAAAAGTCAACATTTATTTTGGAGTATTCTAATGTATGACTACATGACTTTTTGAATCTTATTTTTCTTTTAACACCTTTTTGCATGAACAGATGTTATTTGTATGTATGAACAGAGACACTCATACCCTAGCTGGCCAAAACAAGATTTGTGCTTAATAATGGCTCTGAGAGAAAAGATGAACACCCGGTAGTAGTCAGTGCTGCCACAATCCCAATTAGTCAGGTTTTTTATTGGATTAAACTCAGCATATTTTTACCTTATGAATGGAGGGAACAAACTACTGCCTTTTAAAAAACAAGCACGTCTAATTGAGATTTCTTTCTTCAAAGACATCTGTGGTAAGAATCTACTTATTAATTATTTTTTTTTAAAGAAGTCATGTAGTTAACACATGATCATGATCTAGTGTTCCATAAGTGTTCTAGTTTCCCCTTTGTACCTTCTTGTCTTTCTCAGAACCGTCTGTGAGAAGGATTCCCTTGGCTTGCATGTGGCGGTACAGAATCTTCTGAAGAGCTGACATGTCACATTTGATTACATATTCAACCTAGTGTAAAAAGACAATTAACAAATCCAGTGTCAAATTTTACCAAGATATAATTGTTTCAGTATAATTTTAATTCCAAGTCCTTGCCATCCTAAACAAATAAAACAAAAATTATACTTATTTGATCCTCATCATAACATCACCTTTAAACAAGTTGCAATCCACTTGCAAGCATAATAGTGACTATTTGAAAAGATTAACTGTGGGATTTATGATTACTACAAGACACATAGATTCTAAGGGCATGACTGTAGATTCAGTGCTATTTTACCAAACATATAAAAAAGGAATTATTATTTCCTGTTTCTCTCTTCTTATAATTTTAACCAACTGTCAAAAGACTGAATGGCTAATAACCTGTGAAATTTATTATACCTGCAAAGCATCAATCACAACTGGCACAACCTGGCACAACATAAATAACATCACTTACAGTCCTAAGTAGCATTCTACTTACCAATGTGGGGATGGAAACATGCTATTTTGTTTCTCAATATCTACTAAAAAAAAGGGGAACTAATGAAGTAGAGTATGAACACCAAATTAATTTTGACTTCTTGTTAAATATGATTAAAATAAGTTAGTTTCAGAATGTTTTGACTGCACACCACCCTTAAGTCCAGTAACACAAGAAAAGTTTTCATGTACCAATTTAACACACATTTTTTTGACTGCCAGGCTTGTATACTTCACTATCTTTAATAACTAGGCCAAAATGAAAATAGTCACATAATGAAGACAGAATAATGGTGACAAATAATGCACGAAGTGATTAAAAGAAAAAAAGAGCAAGATGCTTAATGTTTCATAAATAAACTTGTGGAAGTTAACAGTTATATTTAACACTTCATAGGCCTTTGGAGGCCTCACTAGTTAAGAAATACATGTCAGCATGGCCTAAAACAGCCTCACCGAGTCAGCAGAATTTAATTAACAAAGGAGTGAATTATTTATAAAAAAGAGGTACTGTCTAGAGCTTCCTTATCTGACTGTTTGGAGCCTCCCTATATGAAGTAATCCACATGTTACTGCTCTTTGTTGCAATTTACTATAGTCCTGTTTCTCTGACATGGTTTGGTGAAGAACAAGTTGTATAACCTAAAGGTATATAAACTCTGTAACTGCCCTATTTGGGCAGAGTTCATATCAGCAGAGTCTGTCACTCTGCTGCTTTATGTTCTCTCCTATAGCTATAGTAATAAACTGCTTCTGTTCTGACCTGATCTAAATAGTAATTCCAGTTATTCTGCAACAAACAAAATAAAAAGCATCTTTGCTAACAATTTCATTAACCTAGTGAGGAAAGCTTTCAACTAGGTACATCAGGGAAGGAGTGTCATTACCTGAAGAAAAACGAAGGCATGGAGGGCAGCAAAGAAGTATCTGGGAGCACAACTTGGGAGGTTCTTGTGCTTCCCTTATGAAAGCAGCATGACTGGGGGTCCACCTCAAGTGCCTGTACACAAACGCATGCAGCATGGGCAACAAACAGGAGGAATTATAAGTCCATGCACATTGGCAAAACTCTGATCTCATTGGGATTACAGAGATGTGGGAGATAGATAGATAGCTCACGATTGGAGTGCTGCCACGGATGGGTACAGGCTCTTCAGGAAAGACAGACTGGGAAGGTGAGGACAGGGGATTGTGCCCTATGCACAGGAGGGGTTTGAATGCACAGAGATTTGCCTTGGAGCAGGTGATGTGCCAGTTGAGAGCTTATTATCAGAGGACAAACCAATGCAGGTGCTATTGTGGTAGGCATCTGCTACAGGCTTTCTGATCAACAAAAGGAAGCACATGAAGCCTTCTTTACACAGTTCATGGGGGACATGCTCTGCTGGACTTGATAGTCATACACAAAGAAGAACTGCTCAAAGATGTGAAGGCTGAGCGCTGCACTGGCTCCAGCAGCCATGAGATTGTGGAGTTTAGGATCCCGAGACAAGTGAGCAGGACAAATAGAATCACAGCCCCGCACTTCAAGAGAGCAGTTTTCAGCTTGTTCAGGTATCTCCTTGGCAGGATCTCATGGGAGACTGCTCTGGAGGGCAATGGGGCCAAGGAGAGGTGGATAATCTTCAAGAACAGCCTCCTCAGAGCAGAAGTTGTTTCTTATGACGTGGAAGAAGTCGAGCAAGCATGGCAGAAAGCCAGCGTGATGAACAGGGAACACATGACTGAGCTCAAACGCAAAAAGGAAGCACACAAGGCGGAGACAGACATGGGCTACCTGAAAGGAATATAGAGACATTGCCCAGGAGTGCAAGGATGAAGTTAGGAAAGCCTAAACTCAGCTCAAGTTGGAACTAGAGAAGGATATGAAGGGCAACAAGAAGGGCTTCTATAGGTACACTGGCAGTAAAAGAAAGGCTAAGGAAAACAGAGGCCCACTGCTCAATGGGGCAAGGGACCTAGTGCCAAAGGACACAGGAATGACCGATGTACTCAGTGCCTTTTTTTGCTTCAGTTTTTGCTCGTAAGGCTTGTCCTCAGGCCTCACAGGTCCCTGAGCCTAGTGGCAGAGTCTGGGGGAGTAAAACATTACTCATAGTAGAGGAAAATACAGTTAGAGACCACTTAAACCAGTTTGACTGGCTATGTGGTCAAGGGGAGAGCAGTGGAATTAGTTTACCTTGACTTTAGCAAGGCTTTTGACACAGTCTCCCATAGTATCCTTATAACTGAAGTGGTGATATCTGGACTGGATTAGTGGATGATAAGGTGGGTGGAAAATTGGATGGACCGTTGTGCTCAGAGGGTTGTGATCAGTGGTACAAAGCCTAACTGGTATGCAGTTGCTAGTGACATCCTTCGGGGATCAATACTGTGTCTGATATTGTTTAACATCTTTATTAAAGACCTGGATGATCAAACAGAGCACACTCCCAGCAATTTTTCTGACAATACCAGTTTGGGAAGAATGGTCAATACGCTTGGAGGCAGGGCTGCTATTCAGAGGGACCTCGACAGGCTGGAGAAATGGGCTGACAGGAACCTCATGGAGTTCAAAAAAGGCAAGTGTAAAGTCCTGCATCTGTGCTGGAATAAGCAGGCTAGAGGCTGACTGACATACATAAAGCATGGGGAACCTAGGAAAATTCAGGAAGGTCTAGGAAGTTCTTAGGTTTCTGACAGACATTTGTTGTGGGTTAACCCCGGTTGGTAGCTAACAACACACAGCCGCTCGTTCACTCCCACCCCCTGCCAAGCGGGATGGGAGAGAGAATAAGAAAAGCAAAAGAGAGAAAATTCATGGGTTGAGAGAAAGATGGTTTAATCAGTGAAGGAAAGAGGAAGAAGAAACAAACAAACAACAAAAAGTGATGCAAAGGCAATCACTCACCACCTCACGCAAGTAGACTGATGCCCAGCCAGTCCCCAAGCAATGGCTACCTTCCCAAACCACTTCAATCCCTCTGTTTTATTGCTGAGCATGACATCATATGGTATGGAATATCCCTTTGGTCATTTTGCATCAGCTGTCCCATCTGTGTCCCCTCCCAACTTCTTGTGCACCCCCAACCTAATCTCTGGGGGACGCAGAGAGGGAAAAAGAAAAGGCCTTGACACTGTGCTAGTACTGTTCAGCAACATCCAAAACACTGGTATGTTAACAACATCGTTTTAGCCACAAATTCAAAACACAGTACCATATGGACTATGAAGAAAGTTAACTCCATCCCAGCCAGACCATGTGGTACAACATTCCATGTGGTACAACCTAATGTTGCCCCCAGGTGTTCTGGGGAACCTAGGAAAATTCAGGAAGGACTAGGAAGTTCTTAGGTTTCTGACAGACATGTGTTGTGGGTTAACCCTGGTTGGTAGCTAAACAACACACAGCCGCTCGTTCATTCCCACCTCAATATGTGCTCAATATGCTGTAGGTCAGAGGGAACTCGGCAGGCTGGAGAAATGGGCTGACAGGAACCTCATGAGACCCACAAATGGAAATGCCAAGTCCTGCACTGGGGATGGAATAATGCCAGTATACTCTGGGGGCCAACTGGCTAGGAAGTAGCTTTGCAGAAAAGGACCTTGGAGTTCTGGTGGACAAAAAGTTGAACATGAGCCAGCAATGTGCCCTTGCAGCAAAGAAGACCAACAGCATCCTGGGCTTTATTAGCAAAAGTGCAGCCACCAGGTCAAGGAAAGCAATCCTTCCCCTCTGTTGAGCACTGGTGAGGCCACATCTGGCGTGCTGTCTCCCCACTACACAACAGACATGGACATACTGGAGCAAGCCAGGCAGAGGGCCACCAAAATGGACAGAGGGCTGGAGCACATGACATATGAGGAGAGTTTGAGGGAGCTGGACTTGTTCAGCCTGGAGAAGAGAAGGTTTGGGAGACCTTATTGCTTTCTTTAACTACATAATGGGCCAGACTCTGCTTGGAAACATTCAGAACAAGAAAAAATGGCAATCGTCACAAGTTGGAAAGTGAGAAATTCTGATTAGATATAAAGAAAAAAATTCCCCATGAGGGTGGTCAAACACTAGAACAGGAATCCAGAGATGTTGTGGGAGATATTCAGAACTCAACTAGACAAGGTCCTGAGTGACATGCTCTGAGCAGGAGGTTGTATTAGAGACCTCCAGAGGTCTTTTCCAGCCTATATGAATTTATGACTGGTTAAGGGATCGGGAGCACAAGTTGTGTTCTCCTCTATCCTTCCAGTTGCAGGGAATGATGAGGGAAGACGCAGGAAGAGCCAGAAGATCAATACCTGGCTCCGAGCCTGGTGTCTCCGGCAACATTTCGGGATTTTTGATCATGGGTCGATCTACACAACACCAGGCCTGCTGGCGACAGACGGGGTACACGTTTCTCAAAGGGGGAAAAGGATCCTTGCACAAGAGTTAGCAGGGCTAATTGAAAGAGCTTTAAACTAGATTGGAAGGGGGAAAGGGGTAAAACCAGGATCACTAGAGACAAGTCTGGGGGTGGCATGCCAATGTTTGAGTGACAGTGTGCTAGTGAGGCCCTTCGGTCTGCCATCTCAGTGGAGGTAGGGGATGGAGATCCATGCAGCAGCAAAGACGCAAGGGCTATGGATGCGTTAGAAACCACAGAAGTGCCTGAGAATGGTCACGTAGTAATTAGGGCTTCTCCCCCAAAAAAGGTGGCAGGAGCAATAGCCCAACTGAAGTGCATCTATGCCAATGCATGGGCAACAAACAGGAGGAGCTGGAAGCCACTGTGCAGCAGGAAAACTATGATATAGTTGCCATCATGGAAACATGGTGGGATGACTCGCAGAACTGGAGTGCTGCAATGGATGGCTATAAACTCTTCAGAAGGGATAGGAAAGGAAGGAGAGGTGGTGGGGGGTAGCCCTGTATGTTAGGGAGTGTTTTGACTGTCTAGAGCTTGACGATGGTGCTGAAAGGGACGAGTGTTTATGGGTAAGAAACAGGGGAAAGGCCAACAAGGCAGATATCCTGGTGGGAGTCTGTTGTAGACCACCCAACCAGGATGAAGAGGCAGATGAAGTATTCTGTAAGCAGCTGGGAGAAGTCTCACAGTCTCTAGCCCTTGTTCTCATGGAGGACTTCAACTTACCAGATGCCTGCTGGAAATACAATACAGCGGAGAGGAAACAGTCTAGGAGGTTCCTGGAGTGTGTGGAAGATAACTTCCTGACACAGCTGGTGAGGGAGCCAACTAGGGAAGGCGCCCCACTGGACCTGTTGTTTGCAAACAGAGAAGGACTGGTGGGTGATGTGACGCTTGGAGGCTATCTTGGGCATAGTGATCATGAAATGATAGAGTTTTCGATTCTTGGAGAAGTAAGGAGGGAGGTCAGCAGAACTGCTACCTTGGACTTCTGGAGGGCAGAGTTTGACCTGTTTAGGAGCCTGGTTGAGAGAGTCCCTTGGGAGGCAGTCCTGAAGGGCAA